CCAATTGTCGCGTCTGCTGCGCGGCCTGTGTCCGAGAACGTGCAGAGGGTGTCGGGGATTGACAACACAGAGACTCGTTCAACGATGTAAAGAAAACTTTAAGCAGGCCCCAAAAAGGTTCAAGAAAACTTCCTAAGAAAGGCTCCCACCAGAGAAGCTTCTGCTCTCTCCTCTACCCTGGCTGGTTCTGCCCTGACCCCAAAAACTGATCTGGGCGTGGCAGAAGAGGTGGTTAGTCTTTGGACAAGGTCGAGGGTGGTTTCTGTGGGCAGGCCTTTTCCAGGAACTTATTGCCCCCAGGCATTGTATTGTTTTTAGTAAACATGTTTAGTAAACATTGTCTTACAGCTGCCTACTCCCAGGCAGAAGGGGAAGTGGGTCTCTGCTCAAGGTCTGGTGTTCCCACAGCGCTGTCCACATTTAGTGTGGGTCTTCCAACCTCACTTAACCTGATCTAGAAACTCTCAGAAATGCCCGAGTGTCTCTCCAGGTGCCATTCACTGTAGCTGTCCCTGACACATCTGTGTCTCCTGAATCCTGGTGACCCTGGGCTCCCAGTGCCCACCTCCCCTGATTACCTCCTCCCTTCATCAATCAGCTTGCTTTGCAAAGGGTGTTTTCCTGCACTGGGTTCTATGCAGCGATAATCTGGATCATGCCCCTCACTTCTCTCGAAGCCAGCTCTGTGCCTCTCAGCTAAGCCTAAGTAAGCTTCCACTCTGTGTCGGGGTGCTGCTTCGCGGACAGTCATCTCACCTAAGTATAACATTGCCACACCTAAGTATGACGTCACCACACCCAAGTATGCCATTGCTGCGCCTAAGTATGACGTCACCGCTCCTAAGTGTACGTCGCCGCGCCTAGGCACGACATCGGCAGACCCTTCAGGGACAATGATGAAAATAAAAGCGAAGAAGCTGGAATCGTCCTGGACATCAGGGTCCAGCTTCTTCAGCCTTTGAGCACGGGCTCAAGCCAGAGAGTCTCCAGAGAGCTTCCAGCCCTCAGCCTGGAGGGGGCAGCATTCCTGGCCGCTGCAGCTTCCTAGACAGAGCTCCCCGTACGCTCCACTTTGCAGACAGCTGTGTGGGGCCTCTGGTGTGTGAGCAAACCTAATAAGACCCTCTTTATAATCATATTATATTCTATTAGTTGGGTTCCTCTGGAGGACCGTAACTTTTAAAAAGTACACAGATGCAAAGGGAAATAGAGTTGTCTCCATTTTCAGATGATGTAATTATCTACATAGAAGTCCCAAGGAATTTACACGTAAACTGGATTTAGTAAAAATTCATCAGGCTACATGGCAGAAGGTAAGCATAAAAAATAAGGAGCGATGAGCAAATGGGTAAAGAATGGGCTTTATAGCCGGGCGTTGGTGGCGCATGCCTTTAATCCCGGCACTCGGGAGGCAGAGGCGGGAGGATCTCTGAGTTCAAGGCCAGCCTGGTCTACAGAGTGAGTTCCAGGACAGCCTCCAAAACAATACAGAGAAACCCTGTCTCGAAAAAAACAAAAAAAAAGGGCTTTACCAGCAGAGACAGCTGACCTGAACAAGGGGGAGCTCTTGGACCCCAGACCGACAGCGGGGAGGCCAGCATGGGACTGATCCAGACCCCCTGAGTGTAAGAGTCAGTGAGGAGGCCTGGGCAACCTATGGGGCCCTGGGCAGTAGATCAGTGTTTATCCCTGGCATACAAACAGACTTCATGTGTCCATAACACAAAGAGGGATGCTCTCTCCGCCTGGACTCTTAGGGGAGTGCCTGGACCCTGCCCTGAGCGAAATGACAGACTCTGGATATCCCCTATGTGGAAGGAAGTGGGGATAGGGTGGGAGGCTGGGGGGGGGGGGATGGTAGGGAGGGTACAGGAGGAGGGGAGGGAGAGGGAACTGGGATTGACATGTGAAGCAAGCTCTTTTCTAAAAAAAAAAAAGGTAATAAAAATAATGAAAATAAAATAAATTGTACTTCTGTACAGCAGTCATGAACACTCAGTGCCTTTCCAGACCACCAGAACATGCCCTTGCAACAGATCCACGGCTTTCTAGAGGGGAGGAAAGATGAGGCGCTGTCCTGCCAGCCCGCAGAGCAGAGGGAAGCGGGCTTACAGAAGTGTGACCCTGTGGGAGAGAAGAGTGCTGAGTACCTGACCTGATGTGAGCACAGCTACTCAGGAGACTGGGGCAGGAAGACCCCAAGTTCAAGACCAGCCCAGACTGCAAAATGAGCTCAAGGCCACTGAGGTCGACTTAGGGAGGCCCTGCTTCAAAATGTAAATCTAATAAAGTGGCCAAGGGGGCTACAGATGTGGTTCAGGGTTGGAAGGGCCGCAGTCACGAGGACCCTGGCTTCACTCCCCAGCACCGGGAAGGAAAATGCAGGGAATCCTACCGACACAGTTTGGTTGTTCTTGTCAACTAATTCCAGAGATTAAATACTTAGGTGTAGGTCTAACAGAGAACCCACGGTAGTATATGGCGAAAATGACACGCTAACTAGAAAGTCAAAGGAGACTGGAGCGACGGCTCAGTGGTTAAGAGCACTGGCTGTTCCCCAGAGGACCCGGGTTCAGTTCCAGCACCCACGTGGTGGCTCGCACCTGTAACTCTAGTTCCAGAGCATTGCCGGCCTCTAGAGGCCTCTAGAGGCACTGCACCCGCTTGCAGGCAAAATCTACTCACAGAGTAAAATGAAGAAACCTAACCAATGAAACACGTGGCAAGTAAATGAAGAAGCGTGCTGTTTGCAAGCCACGAGAGCTATCACAGTAAACATGGGACGCTCTTCAAACTTGTCGCCAGCTGTGCAAATACAGGCTGAGGGCAAGGGATCGGAATAGCGGAAACTCTCTTGAAAAGGAATAGAGCTTGGAAAGCAATCGGCCCAATTCGAAGACGTATATGGCTACAGAAATGAAGATGTGTGGCACTGGCCAAGGAATGGGAACAGACCAACAGGGCACAAAAAAAAATCCAGACACAGGCCAATGCAGTGCGTCCCGAATAAATTTTAGTATTTGTGTGTGTGTGTGTGTGTGTGTGTGTGTGTGTGTGTGCGCGCGCGCACGCACATGCCACTGTGCTGTGTCAGAGGTCAGAAGTTTCCAGGCTCAGCAGTGAACACTTTTACTCAATGAGCCATCTTGCAGCCCCTAAATAATTTTTGATGAAAGTGTAAAACTGAGCCAGGAGGTGGTGCCACACACCTTTACTCCCAGGACTCTCCGGAGGCAGAGGCAAGCAGATCTCTGTGAGTTTGAGGCCAGTCTGGTCTACAGAATGAGTTCCAAGACAGTCAGGGCTACACAGAGAAACCCTGTCTTTAAAAAAACAAACAAAACAAGTAAATTGATGCACTACAGAGAAGATAGCATTTTCAACAAATGGTACTGAAGAAATTAAATATCTGTAGGTAAAAGGACCATGCCTGGTGTCACATGCTGGTAAACCTAGAACATGAGAGGTGAAAACAGGTGTGTCAGGAGTTCAAGACCAGCTTTGGCTACACAGGGATACTGAGGCCAGCCTGAACTACATGAGATTCTCTCTCTCTCTCTCTCTCTCTCTCTCTCTCTCTCTCTCTCTCTCTCTCTCTCTCTCTCTCTCTCCTCTGTGTGTGTGTGTGTGTCTCTCTCACCTATAGGCAAAAATCTTTACTTGTTATGTTTAAAAACTTAGAATTATTATAGACTAAAGCAGAAAACACAAAATCTTAAGACTTCTAGAGGAAAAAATCTTAGGGGACAGAATCAAAACTGAACCAGGAAGGAGTGGAAAGTAAGAGGGGAAGAGAGGGCTGGAGCAGCTGGGGGCTGGGAGCAGCTGGGGGCTGGGAGCAGCTGGGGGATGGGAGCAGCTGGGCTTCTCCAGCAGGAGCCAGTATCTCTTGGACCCCATGCGAGAGCACAGGAGGCTGTCAGCAAGCTGTTCTCAGAAAAGACAAAACAAACAAACAGTTTTACATTAAAAATAAGCAACAGAAAATGTCCTAGCCTTCATCCACTTCAAACAGTTCATGCTCTTTACTGGTAATGTGCAACAAACGTTGAGACCATTTGAAAATGCACCAGAAAAATATCCTGCCAATTAAACTATAGTTTATTTCAAAACAAGCTAAACGCCATTAAGAAAGTGTCTACATGCCCAAGATCAAGTCATCCAAAATCCCAGTATGGATGGGAGACTGCAGCACGAATAGTATCAGCTAGCTCCATTGGTAGAGCATGAGACTCTTCATCTCAAGGTCATGGGTTTGAGTCCCACACCAGGTGCCAATGTGTAGCACAGATAATATAAACCCACAGACAGATACTGGGGTTCAAGCTGGAGATCAGAAAAAGCAAAGCAGCCTACTCACCAGAGAGTTTTTACCTCCTCCAAGGCTGAAGCAATCCTGTCCTCAGTGTGGCTGGAAACTAATCGCCAGCTCTGAGACCCTGCTCCTATCTTACAGACCTCTCTAGTGCTGGGATTAATGAACAAACTCTGTTTCTCTTTTAGACTGATCCCCTCTCATGCAGCCCTGGGTGACCTTGAACTCCCAGAGATCTGCCCCTGTTTCCCAAGGCCTGGGACTAACGGTGTGTGCCTCTAAGGCTGTGGCTAGCCTTGCGTTCCGATCTCCAGGCACACTTTATTAGATGGATCATAAACAACATATCCCCACAGGGACTTGCGGAGATCCACCCTTAGCTGAGGAGCTCTTGCAGGCAGTTGACGGCTGCTGGGGAGGTAGAGTCAATGTTCTTCAAAGATGCGGCCCCTGATAGGCCATCCACCTCCAGCAGATGTTCCCACGTATGCCCAGCAGAACTAAAGTGACTCGCTGAATTAAAGCCAAAAAAAAAAAAAAAAAAAAAAAAAAGCATGTGGAGATGAGAGGTAAATGTGATGGGGGAGGGGAGAAATTGGGAGGGAGGGGATGGGGTGAACTTGATGAAAACACATAAAATATGCACGTGTGAAATTCTCAAACGATAAGAAATTAATGAAAAACGTTTTCTTTGACAACAAAATGATGGTTTATTGAAGGGAGTGTGCTGTTCCACTCACAACTCAAGCAGTTTTTACAGCTGCCTTCCCGTCGGCAGACAACAGCAATACTCCCAACTTTGTCAAATTATTTAAAAGGCTGTTGCTCGGGTATCAAGACTTAGGGGAGCCAGTGAATTTCGTTGTGCCACCAAGTGAAGCGAGCTCTTTGTTTTAGAAGTGTGCGTCAGTGAACACAACAGCAACTCCAGTGCAGGCTGGGATCACTGCAAGACACCCACAGTTTTCCCTCCGTAGACTTTGAGCTTTGAGTGCAAAATAACAGCGAGCAGAGCAAACAACACACAATAAGCAAATGAGGGAAATAACCCTAGAAGTGGACTGTCACAATGTAGCAGTCCCTGACAAATTCCCAGACCTGAGCAATTAGCGTCAATGGTTATTGTAACATGGAAAGAGAGATGAGGAGGTAAAAATGTGACTACAGATAAAGGCATGGCCTCCTGTAGACGCCAAAAGAGTCAAAACAGCCTGACCCTCACCTCCGCATCAGGCGCTAACTTACAGAAAACATAAAGGGCAAAAGAACGTGCTGGATGGGGCCATGTGTGTGCAGGAAACAAAAATCCAAGTGTGGGAAACTCTTCGCCACGGGCGGCGCAACAAATTGAATCTTAACAGAAAGAAAGGATGAAGTAAAGCATCTGGGAGTCTAAGAGACAACAAAGACAATGGAGTGTGGGACTCAGAAAGGTACACTTTGCTGAGAGGCTGTTAGGAAAAAAAGTCCCCACATGTACAGCGTGTACCTGCGGGTGGTTATTGGCCAAGGCGCATGACAACTTCCACAGAGACTGCGAACGTCTGTGTCTTGCTGAGCTGGCGGTTACAGGGGTTTTGCCTCAAATAAGTCATTGAATTAAGCATCCCCTACGGTTATCTGTGCCTGCTTTACAATACAAGGGACTGTGAAGTGACTGTCTTCCAGACCGTAAGCTGTGGTGGGAGGACAGAAAGGCAGGGAGGGGGTCCCCCACTCACAGTGTTAGGTTCAGATCACAGAGACCAAGGCGACTTGGGGCTGGAGTGAATTAGGTCCTCAGGGAATTTCTGGACGGTGTCCTGGAAATGGAGACTACTGTAATGCAGACAGGATGGACAAGGACCGGAGAAGAAGATTCATGACCACATCTCTTGACTCTAGAGACAGTGTCCTTTACCCAACCCAAGGCCCCGGGCTTTTGACACTCCTTCAGACTCTGGGGAGAAGCTTCCACTAGGATCTTACTGGGGATGAGGTGGAGAAGTTCTTCAGACCTGCAGAAACGATGGAAGGGTCTCAGGAGGCTCCCTACCCGCCTATTCCAGAGACTCGGGAGACAATCTCCCAGCCAGAGGTACCTGTCTCCTTCACCCCATGATGTCTTATTCTGGCCAAAGACAAGGAATGGGAACACTTACCTCACGGTCTGACTGGAACTCCACAGATGCTGCAAAGAGAGAATGGAATCCCCCAGTCAGGATCAAATGTGATTTTCCTGGATGGGGGGGAGGGGTTGGAGGTGACCGGCAATGTCAGCACTCCTCTCTGCTTACCCCTGGACTCCCCTGGCTTTATAAACACTGTCACAGTGATACCAGAGCACAGCCCACCTTCCCTCACTCAGATCTTTACAGTAAAGGAAGCTGGAGGTGGAGAAGCCACGGGGTAGGTGGGAAGGCTCTCCTCAGAGGTATGGTACCTTTCCGAGCCTTGAGGTGGGTAACCACCCCCGCCAGGAAGACAATTAGCCCGAGCAGGAATGCCACACCTCCACTCAGTATCTTCTCCCATGAATATTCAGACTGAGCCACTATGGGGAACAAGAGTTAAAGTCAGTGTAATGCTCCCGATACCAACACAACTTCTTTAGCTATTTATTTGGTTTGTGTCTCCCCTCCCCCGCCATAGCCCTGGCTGTCCTGGAACTCGCTCTGTAGACCAGGCTGGCCTCGAACTAAAGGTGTGCACCACTGCCACCACCATCACTAGATTGGACACAACCTCTTAAAACCCCAAAGCCTATCTTGGACCCCATCCCAGTGCTGCTCAGGGAAGAGTTAAATCTAGAAATGGAGTTGCCTCCCATCTGTCACTGGTGTGTCTGTGTGTGTGTATGTGTGTGCGTGTGCGTGAGCACTGTGTGTGCATGTGTGTGAGCACTGCGTGTGCGTGTGTGTGAGCACTGCGTGTGCGTGTGTGTGAGCACTGCGTGTGCGTGTGTGTGAGCACTGCGTGTGCACGTGTGTGAGCACTGCGTGTGCATGTGTGTGAGCATTGCGTGTGCATGTGTGTGAGCATTGCGTGTGCGTGTGTGTGAGCACTGCGTGTGCGTGTGTGTGAGCACTGCGTGTGCGTGTGTGTGAGCACTGCGTGTGCGTGTGTGTGAGCACTGCGTGTGCGTGTGTGTGAGCATTGCGTGTGCATGTGTGTGAGCATTGCGTGTGCGTGTCCATGTGTGATGTGAGCATACACCAGAGGCCAACTTCAGGTGTCGTTCCTCGGGTGCCATCCACCTTGCTGTTGTTACCGTAGCTGTTTTTGCACCGGGTCCTTCACTGGGCTGGGTGGCCTGTGAGTCCAGGGACTGCCTGTCTCCACCTCCCTGGCCCTGGGACTACAAGCAGCCGCTAGAGCTCCTGGGGGATCGATCTCAGATCCTCATGCTTGCATGACAAGCACTCTGCCAACTGAGTCACACACACCCCAGCCCTGTCCCTGACTTAGAGCCCATGGCAGTGTCCCTAAAGACGCTACAGAATACGAGGTCCTAGGGTGGAGGCGTGAGGTGAATTAATAGCCCTCCTGAGGATGGCTACCTGCCCTGTTCTCTCCCACCCTGGCCCTAAAACTCTCAGATCAGGGGGACCTTGTCTTGTAATCAAGATGAAAACAGAAGTGACACAAACCCCAAAGTCAATCCCCAGGGATAAACAAACTAAAAAACTAAACAAAGCTCACTCCACTCCACAGAAACAGGGATCTGGAGACTGGGGTGCTCCACAAGGCAGCTGTAGATGTCACCGAGCTCTGGGATCACTTCCAGCATTACTGTAATCTGGAAAGTCCAGTCTCCGTTCCTAATGAGGCCAGTGGACGCGACCCCAGACCTCTCCTCCTGTCCATTCCGAAACCACCTGACTTTTATGTCCCCAGGGTAGAAGCCGCTCGCAGAGCAGAGCAGGAGGTTGTGTTGCTGCAGCAGCGGGGTCCTCTCCGGGAACACTGTCACCTCTGGTGGCACTAGCAAGAGAGAAGAAACATCACTCAAGGACTGGAGCGTCTGTGGGTGCTGTGACCACCCTTGATCCTTGTCCCAGAGCAGCCAAGCAGAAGCGGCAAGCGTAGAGACGCCTAAGACCCCCCCGACTGAGAAGCGTGGATGGACGCCCACAGGAAGGATTAGCCCCCACAGTCACCCACTGTATTCAAGGGTACAGCAGTCCTCGAAGTCCCTGAGAACTCTGGGGTTGTAGAACTAAGACCACGATGTCCTGTCCTGAAAGGACTGTGACTCACAACTGAGGACAGAGCAGAGTCACAGTCCCTCTTATTGCTGTAGCTTTCTTATCCTTCCTGATCCCACAGCTGATTTGCCCCAAATAAGCACACAGAGACATATTGATTATAAAACTGTTGGCCAATGACTAGGGCTTCTCATTGGCTAGCTCTGTCTTAATTGTTAGCCTCTTTCTATTAAGTATTCCCACATGGTCTTATCTTACCAGAGAAGGGTCTGGACCTGTTACTCCTTCCTCTGCTACATGGTGTCTCCCCCACGGCCTCTCTCTGCCTCCTCTCCCTGGAATTCTCCTGGTTTCCCAGCCCCGCCTATCTCCCTGCCTCTGTTGGCCAAACAGTGTTTTATTCATCAACCAACAAGAGAACCATATACATAAAGGAGGAAGTCCCCCATCACCCCTTACCTGCAACCCTCTTACCCTAGAGAATAAATTTCCCGTCACAAGAAAGTGGGCAAGGTGGCTCAGCAGATAAGAGTGCCAGCCACCGGGCCACAGGACCTGAGTTCCATCCCTAGGACCCACATGATGGGGAGAGATAGAACCAACAGCCTCAAGTTGTCCCCTGACCTCCGTGTGTGCACTGTGCATGCATGGAACACACACACACACACGCATGCACACACACGCACACACACACGCATGCACAGATGTGATTTAAAACATTTTAAGTGCCTGTCACAGAGGTTCTTGTGGAGACCCCCCCACTAGGCCCTGCCCTCACTCACCCTCTCTCTCCACGGTGAAGGGGGCCCCCAGCTTGTAGTTCTGCCTACAGACCAAGTTCACAGAGGCTCTGCTCTGCTCCAGGAGGTCCCAGCGTTTGTTCCACTGCTCGGCGTCAGGCTCCCCTAGCTCCGTCAGCGCCACAAACACCCCCAGGTCACTGTCAAAATGTAAGTACTCCTCCAGGTTGAAGATGAACCGGACCAGGAAGCGCACCTCTTCTGTCCCGTTGGTGAAGTAACAGTCCGCCTTTGCCTGAATCACAAAGTCCTCTGGAAACCACAAGAGGGTTAGGAGCCAGGGCCGTTCTTGGAAAGCCTGTGTCTGTACACCAATGCAGCTTTGGGAAAGCCTGTGTCTGTACACCAATGCAGCTTTGGGAAAGCCTGTGCCTGATACATCAATGCAGCTCTGGGAAAGCCTGTGTCTGTACACCAATGCAGCCCTAGAAAAGCCTGTGTCTGTACACCAATGCAGCCCTAGAAAAGCCTGTGCCTGGTACACCAAGATAAAGGGTGCAGATTTGAGAGTCATTTTGACTACACATGCTCAAAAGCATATGGTTGATGCCATTGGTGCTCAACAGCATTTATTACAATTGTGAAATCTACAGGGAAAACAATTTTCAGGAGTGAATCCTTCCCTGTCCAACACGTGGATCCTGGGAATTGGACTCAGGTTGTCAGGGTTGCCAGCGCGTGGCCTTACCCCCTGAGCCATCTTATGACCCATTTCACGTTTCTGAACACTGCACTCATGCTGAAAACACACGTGGAATGGTAACCATGGAGAGGAAAGGAGAGAAAGAAGGTGGGACAAGAGGGGGAAGACTTTTCGCAGTGATGACATTCTGACTCCTCTGCACTCTCAAGAATGAGTGACACGGCCAGCAGGTCACAGGAGAGCTTCATGAAGTGGCTCTAAGCTTCGACTTGAAGGATAATTGCAAGCATGAGTTTTCTGACCCTTCTGGTCCTGCCAGCCCGGAGCCCCAAATAAACACACAGACACTGTATTAATTATGAAACTGTTGGCTAGTGTCTAGGGCTTCGTATTATTGGCTAGCTATGTCTTAATTATTAACCCATTTCTATTAATCTACATATTTCTACACGGCCTTACCTTACCGGAGAATGCCTGGCGTATCCTACCCCCCTGGGCTCCACATGGCGACTCCTCTCTGCCTACACTTCCCAGAATTCTCCTCACCTCCTAGTCCCGCCTATCTTCTTTCTGCCTCATTGGCAGAACAGTGTTTTATTCATCAACCAATAAGAGACACGTGTATACAGAAGGACATCCCCACCAAATAACGGCTGTTGTGCTTGAATTGTGGACCTGCTCATTCCTAAGCTCAGCAGTCTACTCCAGGAGTGTCCAGCCACTGCCAAGAGTGACCTTGATGGACATCCAGGCTCCTTGTCTGGGTCACTGAGTGACATGCCACCATCCAGTCCCACCCACGGCATTTCTACCCTTCTCTGTTCCCTCTCACATGCTAAAGAAGCAAAAGATATGTGGATTTCTTTTTTCATCATTTAAAAATCTATACTGAAGCCCGGCCTTTAATCCCAGCACCTGGGAGGCAGAGGCAGGTGGATCTCCCTGAGTTCGAGGCCAGCCTGGTCTACAAAGTGAGTTCCAGGACAGCCAGGGCTACACAGAGAAACCCTGACTCAGAAACAGACAAGCAAAAAAGAGAAAAAAAATTAAAAACACCTCTATGCTGATGGTTTTTTGTTGTTGTTTTTCATCTGCTGAATGGACATGATGAACTCAGAGCATTTTTTGTTCTCAGAGAAAAAATGATGCTCCCTCCCCAAGGCTTGTTCCTCTTCTGTAATTGGTGAGACCCTGACATTAAAGGGGATCTTAGCAGATCACATCCTGTTTTCTGCTCATAACCCCTCGTTTTCACGGTCTAGCAAGGCCTGTGTTTGCATAACCCATCTCCCTGGCTAAAAAGTACACGCAGATGCCTGAGGCCAAAGGTACTCAGCATACTCAACTTGTCTGACCTCTTCCCTTACATCAAAACTGCTCAGTACAATGCCGAACACTTACATGGGGTTTAATAGGTGACAGGAGAGGTCGTCTCCAATCGCTAGAGATACAGAAAGTCATCACAGACGTGGACTCTCACCTAGGAGGGCCAGCGCTCTCAGACTCTGGCTTTCACGGTTCTAGTGTCTGAAACTGATGCATAAGGAGCCCAGCAAGGAAAAACGTCTCTTGCTTCCTTCCTACCTCCCCTGGTATCCGTGTCTCGGGTATGGGAAGTCCTTTCCAGGCAGCTCGTTGTGAGTGGTGAAGAGCCCGAGGGCTTCCGGGTCAGTGGAAGGAGGACTGCCCTTTAAGTTAGAGCCACCCTATTCTGAGACATTGGCCTATGGGGGAGAGCAACCCCAACACCAGTTCCAGCAGAGACACCCAGAAACAAATCCCTCTTCCTACCTGGGGGGTCTCTGCCTTCAGACATGAAGGAATCCGGCCTCATGAGGTTCACTAGGAGGGCCACCACCCAGGGGGCCCTCCCAGCACCCATTCTGGAGGGGACAATGGCAGCAAAGTGGCTGATGAGCCCTTTAAAGTGGAGCTGTCTTCCACCCAACTGAAAAAAAAAAACTCAAAGTATAGATAACTCTCCAGCCTCCCTGAGATTGGGACCATCTTCAGACTGCTAACCAATCAAGACCGAAGACTTCTGCATCATTTGTTGCTAGGCAGAACAGTTTGATGAAGTTGCATTGTGAGAGCCAGGAACTGGTGACCTGGAGGGTCAGTGGGAGTGGCTTAAGCCCAGGAGAGGGGGGTGGAATCTGCAGAGTAGGCGGTCCTGGAACAAAGCAGACCGTCTGTTGCGCACCCTCGTTTATTTAGGGTCCCTGAGCTATTCTGACAGCAGAGGGTGTGGAACAAGGAAGATGTAGACGGCTTCGTGGACGTGGCTCAAAGGGAGCCGGCAGCGGGCTTATCACAAAACAGATGGCAAATCGTTGCTGTGTCCCGTTCGCCAATCGAGGAGAGGAGGGAGGAGGAGATTGAGACAGAAGGACAGACAGGGAGACAGAATTCTCAAAAGAATAAAAATAAAACCATGTAAATATATTCATAAGAGAAAAATGTAAGGAAGCATGGGGAGGGGCAAGTCAACAAGATGGAGGGATGGGATTCTACAGGACACACTGGCTGGCTACAGAGTGAGCCCCAGTCTCCTCCTCCTCCTCCTCTTCCTCCTCCTCCTCCTTATCATCATCATCATCAGTGCTGAAAATTGTGCAGGGGGGGAGACGTGAAAATTAATCCACCTCTGCCACCCTAGGCAACACAGCCAAAGCTACTTGCAGAGGAAAGGGTTTATTTCACTCCTTGACTTAAAGTTGGGGCAGGGACTCAGGGAGGAACCTGGAGGCAGGAGCTGATGCAGAGGCCAGGGAGGGTGCTGCTGACTGGCTCGCTCCTCCTGGTTTGCTCGGACTGCTTTCTTATAGAACCCAGGACCACTTACTCAGAGATGGCCCCACCCACAGTGGGCCGGCCTTTCTACATCAATTATCAAAACAAAATGTCCTACTGACTTGCCCAGGACAGTCTGATGGGGGCATTTTCTCCACCGAGGTTCCCTCTTCCTAGATGACCCTAGCTATGCCCGGCTGGCGGACATGCTCTCTCTTGCATGCTCGAACACAACACACACAAAGCAAGACTAGCAGGTATAGAAAAGTAATTTAATGATGTGTATCTTACTCAAGGACTTTTATCCTGTTGACATGTTTGTATACATGCATTTTAGCACACAAACAAGGCATTGTGAACAATGGCAAATATTTGTAATAACATCACCCAGCCCCCCCAACTTCTTCTGCATGGCCCAGAAGGTGATCTACAAGAGCTGAGCTTCTCATTTCAAAATGGGGGTGAGTTTATTAAACATATAGGGAGCAAAAATACATAGACTAAATAGGCAGTAGCAGAGAGAAATTGGAGATGGTATCAGAACACCAACCATCGGGTGTTCAGAACATCCAGCAAGAGAGGACTAGCATGGCCAGCTGAGGGCAAGCAGAGGGAACAGGCCAAACGGATTCCCAGGGGAAATCACCTGGGGAAGCGGCAGCCAGCTGTGTTCCCGCAGGCAGGGAGAGCCCTAGCTGAGAGACCCTGGAGAGAGCGACCATCAAAGAGCAACCGACAGAGATGACATTATCAACAGGAAGCAGAAACGGGGAAGCTGAGGCAGTCATCTGAAGTCCAGATCAAAAGAGCCCAGGATGGAGGGTCCTTCCTCTCCCTGTAAGAGTTTCCAGCATCCCGGGCCCACCCCGGCACTTGGTAAACACCGGAAACCTCAGTTAGCAACTGGCTCGCCTTCCAGATGCTCTCAAGGACGCCGTGTCTCTGATGCCCTTAGCTGTTTACTGTCTTCTTTTCTCCCTGTGGCAATTAGGAGGCTTGTGACATGAATAATAAAAAACAAAACCAGATACAGATATCGGGGTTCAAGATGAAGACCAGAAAAGCAAAAAGACACCCAGCCGGTAGCTCTCACCTCTACCAAGGCTGAAATGGAGATTCCTGTCTTCCCTGTGACTGGAAACTGAATCTCACATGACACTCTTTGCTTCTTCCTTATAGACTTCTCTAGTGCTGGGATTAAAGGTGTGAGCTCTGTTTCTCTTTTAGACTCATTCGCTCTTGAGTAGCCTAGGGAAGTCTTGGACTCACAGAGATCCATCTGTGTTGGGAGATGTCATTCTGTAAAAATGTGTCTGTTTGGTTTGAATAAAGCACTGTTGGCCAATAGGGAAGCAAGATAGGTGGGACTAGGAGTGAGGAGGATTCTGAGAAAGAGAAACAGAGAGAATCACAATGTAGCCCACCAGAGAAGTAAGATGTCCGGACCCTTTTCTCCGGTAAGAAACATACTTAGATTAACCAACATGGGGTAAATAAGTAAGTCGGAGATAGCCAGTAAGAAACCAAGCAAACGGCCAACAGCTTCATAATTAATATGGCCTCCTGTGTGTTCCTTTGGGACTGACGCGGCTCTGGAACCAGGCTGGCGGGAAGGCTGTACTATACACATCTGCCTCTGTCTCCTGAGTGCTGGGATTAAAGGTATACGCCAGCACTGCCCAGCTCCTATGGCTAACTAGTGTGGCTAGCTTTGCATTCTGATCTCCATGCAAGCTTTGATTTAATGAAGATTTAATAAACAATGTATCACCACAAAGGCCAGCTTGACCCAGGGCAGGAATTTTGGAGGAGAGGGGGAAGGGGCCTCCTCACTCCCAGAGCCAGCTTCCAATGAGTTTAAGTAGCATGTGAACGTGGACCATCGCCCTGTGCCCTGCGCCCTGCGCCACTAATGGGCGCATCCCACGAAATAAGATGTGGCGCAGCTGTACGCTTCCGGTGTGAAGAGTAAATTTCAGATACGCGCGTTGAGGGAGCTGCGCTTTGGGGACAGGTGAAGAAGGAATACGTATACTTACCTAGCACAGCTTTCTTTTTGTTGTTGTTGTTTTTTGTTTTTCGAAACAGGGTTTCTCTGTATTGTTTTGGAGGCTGTCCTGGAACTCACTCTGTAGACCAGGCTGGCCTCGAACTCACAGAGATCCACCTGCCTCTGCCTCCCAACTGCTGGGATTAAAGGCGTGCGCCACCACCACCCGGCACAGCACAACTTTCTATTGCTGAGACAGATGCCATGGCCAAAGCGACTCCAGAGGAAAGTGTCGTCCGCCTTAAAAATCTCCGTTACATTTTCCGTCTCTGAGGGAAGCCAAAGCAGGAACTCAAGGCAAAAGCCTGGAGGCAGGAACTGAGGCAAACGCCATAAAGGAACCGTGCTTACCCACTTGCTGCCCATGGCTTGCTCTACCTGGTTTCTTATATAACCAGGGATCTCCTGCCCAGGAGTGGCACCTCCCACAGTGAGCTGGGCCCGCCCACATCAACCATCAATCAAGAGAATGCGCCCCGGGCTTGCTCAAGGCCAGTCCGGCAGAGACCTTTTCTCAATTGAGGTTCCCTCTTCCCAGACAACCCTAACCGTGTCAGGTCAACAAGAACCAACGGAGACAACGTGCTTGCCTAAATGTAGGTTAAATCTCTCCAGGATGACAAGCCTGAAGCTGGGGACTGGATTTTCTGGCCAGCCATGGAGTGCCGTGTTCCTCTTTGTCTGTCCAATTTTCAACTACATCAGCGTATTACAAACTCGCACATTTTTAAAAGGAAGATAGCGAGAGGATAAATGTTTACAAGTGCTTGGAGACTTGTTCACAAGTCAAAGTCCACTTTGTCCAAGAGTGAGACCCTGTCAAGTTAGTGGCAGTTTCCAGACTTGTGCTCTTATTTTCACGGTTGTGAAGGTCACACCTGCCGCATGGGGTTATCATCGTAAGAAGATGTGTGTCCCGCACAGGTGCAGCCACAGCACTCGGGAAGCACGAGGTTATCTTCAGAATAAAGTAAGGAGATGCATGTCCTGCATGGGTGCAGCCATAACATTCAGGAAGCAACCAGGAAATACTAGTGACTTCCTAAGAGTCCCCAGAATGACCCAGTTTTTTCTTGGGCCACCAGATGGCATCAGACTCCCACCAGTGCTGGCCCTGGCTCACCAGAATAAGGAAGGGTTCATTCCCCCAAAACCCTGACTACTCCACATTCCCTCCTGGGAATCCATGGAGACTGTGTGACCTCCAGGAGGCCATCCCTCTGAGGACTTGAGACTGGATGCTGCCCCCACACAGAACAGGACAGACCAGGGAGCTGTCTAGGTGGTCCAAAGAAACCCGCAAGGCTTTCCTAAGAGTGTCCCCTCCCCCGTTCATATTTTCCCTTAGAAAGACTTCCCTTCCCTCCACCCTTTACCAAAACATCAACTCAGAATGATTGAAGACTTGGATGAAACACAGCTACGAGAGATACTGCAAGATCTAGATGTGCGCAGTGACTGGAAAGTCTCCAGTAACCCAGAGGGGAAAGTAAGAATTGAAAAATGGAGTTGCATTAGATTTAAAAACTTCTGAAGAATCAAAGACACAGAACAGCAGAGACAGACAGAAGAGGAGAGACAGACAGAAGGAGAGAGACAGACAGACAGAAGGGGAGACAGACAGACAGAAGGAGAGAGAGGCAGAAGGGGAGAGACAGATAGACAGAAGTGGAGAGACAGACAGACAGACAGACAGAAGGAGAGAGACAGACAGAAGGAGAGAGACAGACAGAAGGAGAGAGACAGACAGACAGAAGGGGAGACAGACACAAGGGAAGACAGACAGACAGACAGAAGGGGAGAGACAGACAGAAGGGGAGAGACAGACAAACAGACAGACAGAAGGGAAGACAGACAGACAGACAGACAGACAGACAGACAGAAGGGGAGAGACAGATAGACATAAGGGGAGAGACAGACAGAAGAGGAGAGACAGACAGACAGAAGGGGAGAGAGACAGAAGGGGAGAGACAGACAGACAGAAGGGGAAAGAGACAGACAGAAGGGGAGAGACAGACAGACAGAAGAGGAGAGACAGACAGACAGAAGGGGAGAGAGACAGAAGGGGAGAGACAGACAGACAGAAGAGGAGAGAATGCTTGGCCAGC